GAGCCGGAACAGCAGCTTGCCTGCTCGTGTGAAGCTGCGAGGGCGGCTGTAGTTCTCCGGCTCCGCACTGTGTTAATTAAGCCAGACCAGATGAGGATAGCAAGTTTCATGCTATGAAGGACAGTGGTGAACCGGGTGGATTTTCACAACAACTGACAATGTTTTCATGATTGCCAATGAGCTATCCTTTTTTTTAAATTGAATTCAAATTTCATAGTCAGTTGTGGTGGGACGTCGAACCTAGAGTATTAGCCTATGTCTCTTGAATACTAGATGGCTAACATTACCATTGTGTCATCACCTCCCCAGATATACAACCCTGATGGGAAAGTTATAAACCCCAACGTGGTAGGAAATGTTTTTTTCTTATTTGAAAGCCATTCATGCTACACTGTGATTAATTTCAGGTCACGCAGTTACAGCAGAAGTCGAAGTCGACGTAGACACAGCAGAGGTCACTCAAGTAACAGCAGCTCCTATAGAAGCTACAGAAGTCACAGGTAACCTCATTGAGTTTTAATTTACACAATGTCATAAATACAGTCGTGCACTTGACAGAAATTAATGGTGATTTGAAAGTAGTATTTTAAATGCCTACGTTTTGAGTGTAAATCTTGAAGGAATCATTCTAAATCTACAACGGAGCTAGCAAGCTGTTAAAAGTCCTGTCTCTAGCTCAGACAGGATGACCTTGGATTACAAAGGCCAGGGCGGAAATTTTTTGTTCTGGCTATGGAGAACCGAGTTAGACCCTACCATCCAGAGCCCTGCAACTGGATGCAGATTCATCAGAACGACACCAAGGCTTAGAGGATACATAAATTTGGCTTCTATTCCTTCAGGTATCAAAGATTGTTGCATTACCTGAATGAAGTGTTCAAAATGTCAAAAGGATTAATTGGAACAGATTGACCTCTGGTAGAGGAATCGAGGATGGAAAGGCTGTTAGAGCCAGGGCAATTTAGGAGGAATGTTAGAATGTACTTTTTCCATATGCAAAGGGTAGTAAAAATATAGAATCTTTCTCCCAAAAGGTCTTGGATGCTGGGACAATTAAAGTTTTCAAGATTGAGAGTGGTGAATTTTTGGTAGATAAGGCTATTGGGTATATGGAACTCTGATGGGTAAAAGGAGTTGAGGTTATAGAACAACCCTGATCCACATCAATGCTTCAACCAGTTTGAGTTCGGGTGATATAATCTGATTGAGCCTGTGACATTACTTTCAGATACCCCCTGGTCAGGAGTACACTGGTTCAGCATAATGAAGAAGTAGGGTCCCAATTAGGCTCAAAAACAAAGTTGCTGGAAAAGCTCAGCAGGTCTGGCAGCATCTGTGAAGGAGAAAACAGAGTTAACGTTTCGGGTCCGGTGACCCTTCCTCAGAACTGCGTGCATGGAGTGCAATCAGTTCGGAGGGAGATAAGTTGGATTTGTTGAGAGGGGCAGAGAAATTGAAGCAACTAATGTCACGTCGACAGATCTCAAATGAAAAGATCGAGTGCAGGTAAAAGGCCGGAGGGAGGGGTCCAGGTGGAGGGAGAGTGTTGGAGTTGGGCAAAGGGGTCTGTGGAACGGGGAGTGGACTCTTGTCCAAAGAAATGAGCACGGAGGCGAAGACAGTGGAAGAAGAGTTCGGCGTCATGTCGTGCCTGAAATTCGTTAAGGTGGGGACGGAGAGAGATAAAACTAAGGCCTTTGCTGAGTACGGAACATTCAGCATCGGAGAGCGAAAGGTTAGGAGGGATGGTGAATACCTGACAGGAGGTGGGGGGGTTGGGGGAGGGGATAGAGTCAGAGGGAAGGTGAGGAGAGGAAGGTTCCAGAGGGACATGGGTATTTTTGAATTGTTGCATCGTTGCATATTGTGGGCCTTGATGCCTGAAAGGAAAAGAAAAAGTTTCTTGTTAGCACGACGAATGAGCCGGAGGATGAAGTGAAACTGCGGAGTGGTGCAGCCCTGAGCCAGTATGTTGCGATGCTGTTGGAGAGAAAGGTTGAGAGTGTGCCTGTGACGGCGCATGGCACTGAGTGTTGATCTCAGGATGCGGCGAGAGCAGCTGTCCATGGAACGTTGAACATCATGGAGGTATCTGTGATCCTGGGAGGATTCAAAACATGAGGGATGACACTTCAGTTGGAATCCACGTGGGGTGAGTCTGAGCCGGAGGCAGCCACTGAGGAATGTGATATGGCTGTGGAAACGAGTTTTAGCAAATACCTGGTCAAACACCAGGAGTGACAGTGAAGTTAAAGTCAGTGGGCAAGAAGAGAGATTCGAACGGAAATCCCGTCGGAGAGAGGAGCAGAACTTCTTTAAGCTGGGCATGCCTGGAAGAGATGTGGCAGTGAGTTGAATACTAAATAAAAACCAAAAGAACTGTGGATGCTGTAAATCAGGAACAAAAACAATATATTGCCCTAGTTCTACCCCATCTACATTCATTTCTGTATGTCAGCCTACAGCATGGATATATTGGACTTTGAGATATGGAGAGCGGGTTGATATCTGGGCTATAAGAGTTAAATTGTGAGGCCAATTGTCTGATCATTTCAACAATCTGACCCCTCCCTGCAAAGTCACTGACAAATCACCATTCATTTTTGCTAACTTAAGTTTATTAAAAGAAGCTCCTTTACTTTTCTCCACCACTCACTGGTGTTTTTATCAGGGTAACGGTTTCATTTAATAATGGCATTTAAGCACCACTTTAACAGCTGAAATACGTGAAGTAATACACAGCACTCTGTGGCTAAACACATCCATGTCTGGGGGTTCATAAAATGTTTGCCTTCATTTTATAAGTTGTGTGTGACATTTGAAATTAAGTATCCAGATGTAACTCCTGTCCCATCTTCCCCCTCACCAGTCCAGATTTGGCAGTGACCTATACACAAACTATAGTTTTTGATAAAAGACATGAATTTTTATTTTGAGTGTTTTCCCTTCTCTTCCTGACATGCAAAGTCTGGAATGGGGTGCAGTTCCAGAGGTGCCACTTGTTCTTTTATACACTTCAATTTCATGTGCAAGTTTTGAGAATGATTATTAAAACCACATTTGATCTCAGAGGGCCACTCAACCGTTCCTGCTTTTTGCCAAAGTCTGCTTTCCAGCATATGTCCTGATAGCAGAAGTCTTTGGTTGACTTTGGCCCATTCCCCCTTCCCTACATCCAAGAATGTTGAGATCACATGTAGTAATTGCCATTTGCTGCCAAGGTTGAGATCAGCTCACTTAATATAGCCCAGAAATCAAAAGGTTGTTAAATTTTATAGTATTCTTTTTATAACCATGATGTTAAGCAGGCGTCTGGTGTATTAGTTATCATCTTAGTTCATTGTTATTTAGATATTCATAAAGTGCTGTGCACACATTTCCCTCCTGGATTGCTGACTGCTATTTATTCATTACTTTCATTATTTTAAAAAAGCTGCCATCAAATGCAAAGCATAGACATGGTTCGCAATTGTCCCTTTGGAGCTGACTTCACCAAGTCGTTTAATAATACTGTTTGTTCAGTTAAGGGTTTGTACTAGAAATTATTTGCACTTATATTGGATCCTCATCACGAACAGTCACTTTTGGGACAGAGAGGAAAGTTGCATCAATATGTAAAATTGGTTGTAGCTTTCCTATCTTCAGAAAATTGAGAGATGCTTTTAATAAGCTTTCATCACCAAAATAAAAATGAGGTGCTGCCTACAACCTCTAAGCATTTGTCTACATTGTGCAGTTTCACATTGTACTCACTGAGTACCATCTTGAATATATGTGGCATGCAGATATAAACCCCTCTATGCTATCAGTCAGTAAATAGTTCATGCTTTGATTTTCTCCTGTATATTTGATTATTGCAATACGGTACTTCAGATATATTTATGTCTGTATTTTGCCTTAGTTCTATAAAACGATCTTCTGTTCTCTATATAAAGATTTTATTATTGGCATCAAAACTGCTTCTTCAATCGTTAATTAGAAGTGGTCTTCATTTAGTGCAGAAAATTCCCTGTCCATTCAGAAACTTCTGGCTTGTGCAGCAGTTTTGATCCATTCAGTAAAGGGTTGAACACATGCGGCAGTGCAGCACATTTCACAATCTCAGTGTCCCACAGCACTTTACAGCTCATTACTTTTGAGGTCTAGTCACTGTTTCAGTGTTAGAAGTATAGCAGCCAATTTGCTCATAGTAAAGTTTCACCAGCTGCAATGCAGCAATGACCAGAGAGTCCTTTTTTTTAATGTGATGTTGGTTAAGGGATAAATATTGGCCAGGACACCAGGGAGACCTCTCCAGCTTATTATTAAAACAGGGTCATGGGAACACTTAGAAATACTTGAGAGAGCCAATGAGGATTTAGTTTAACATCCCAATGGTGCAGTATGCCCTCAGTACTGAATTGGAGTATCAGTGTAAATTTTGTATTCAGGTTTCAGGAATGATTCTTGTACCCATAGTTCAGACTCAGAGATGAGTGTGCCACCACAGACAATGTAGATATCTACTATGTGTACTTAATCTGTTTCACAGCAATGGCTGGATTTTTCTCCTTCCATCACTAACAGCAATGATCACAGTTTCCTGAAAAATTATATTTTAAAATATTGCCTCAATTCAAGCAATTCTGTCTTATTCTGTGCAGTTTAGACATTTGGATTCCAATTCTAGCTGGCCATGAGGGAGAAAGAGGCAAATGTGGGGAGACAGGGATTACACATAGGTTTCCTAGTTTATAGGCAGATGCACTACCTTCCAATAGGGATGATAATTTGGTGGAACAAGGCTGCAATCACGTATCAATGGATTTTGGTACAAGCAATTCAGGTATTCTGACTGCAATTAGGAAATTGTGATTTCTGCCTGGAGAGCACCGAGGCTTCCTCATGAAGTGAGGACAAGCATTCACGGTCCTCATGGCCCAGATAGAAACCTAAAGTTACCAAACTTAACTAAAAGTTACCAAACTATTAGGGTATCTCCTGACCCACTATCCAGCTCCTGGCAGGCTAGCCTGTGGAAGGTCATCAACTTGTTCCTTTCTCAGGTTGTATCCCTTTCTGGAAGAGACAAGGACCAGAGGGCACAGCCTCAGAATAAGGGGTCGCTCATTTAAAACAGAGATGAGGAGGAATTTCTTCCCTGAGGGAGTGAAGCTGTGAAATCCTTTCCCACAGAGCGTTTTGAAGGCTGGATCATTAAGCATATTCAATGCTGAGATAGATTTTTAATGGATGAAAGGAATAGTTGAACCACATTGCCATTAGGGAGGGAATTCCAGGATTTTTCCCCAACAACAGTGAAGAAATGGCATTATATTTCCAAGTTGTGATGGTGAGTGGCTTGGAGGGGGTCTTGAAAGTGGTGGCGTTCCCATGTATCTGTTGCCCTTGTCCTTCTAGATGGAAGTGGTCGTGGGTTTGGAAGGTACTGTCTGAGGATCTTTGGTGAATTTCTGCAGTCCATCTTGTAGATAGTAGTGATGTGGAGGTGCTGGTGTTG